ACACTTGCATATTAGGATTATGGCGCTTATATGAGAATACAGTTTTAGGATTTAGGAGTTCTTTGAGAATACCATTTTAGGGTTATGGGGATTGTCCTAGAATACCATTTTAGGATTATAGTAGTTATCTGAGAATACATTTTTTTGATTATATGGTTTGTCTGAGGATACATTTTTCGGATTAAGGGGTTGTCTAAGAATACAATTTTAGGATTATGAATATTGTCTAAGAATACAATTTTAGGATTATGAATATTGTCTGAGAATACATTTTTGAGGTTATTGGAGGTTGTCCTAGAATACAGTTGTAGGAATATGAGTGTTGTTTTGGTTTAACATTGTTTTGATTATGGGGTGTGTATGAAGATACATTTTTAAGATTATGAAGTTTGTCTAAGAATATATTTTTGTCGTTTTGGATATAAATATATTATAAACATATTTTTCTGATTATCCTGATGGTTCGATAATGCACATGGTCTGAAATTACTATTTTATCGTAATGGCGATGATCTGAGAATACATTAGGATTAGTGATTTAATATTCTTTATAATAAGTTATCTTTGTCATAAAATTCTCATTTCTGTCAGTTTGAACTTAGACTTCATAGAGTTAAACGGATACTTTTCTTGATAGCCAAAGCAAAAAAAAAAAAACATATGAGAGATAGAGGAGGGAGGGAGGGGAGAGATAGAGGAGAGAGAGATTGGGAGAGAGAGAGAGAGACATTCGTACCTTTTTTGTAAAAGATCATTCCAGCCATGGGTCCTCTCAAGGATTTGTGACTGGTGGTAGTAACAATATCACAATGATCAAAGGGGCTTGGCACAACCCCTGCTGCAACAAGACCACTGATGTGTGCCATGTCTGCCATTAAAAGACAATCTACTTCATTGGCTATTTGACGGAAACGAATATAATCTAAATGGCGGGGATAACAGGTTGCCCCTGAAAAAGAAAAAGAAATAATTTAGATTGCGTAAATGATTTTGAACTCAATCAAAACTGGACAATAAAGATTATGCGCCTTCGGTTCAGATATGACAGCAAAATACCGCATTTTCACTGTAATTGTAAAGATAAATCTTGTGTAAAGATGACTATTGTAAAACGTGATCATAGCAGAAGGGACCAGATACTTCCTGGGGTGACATGGAGAACCGAACCTTTCTCCCAGATTCTTTAGCAATGGATTGTATATATGAGTTCAATTTATCTGTGGTACTCGGACTTTGTGAATTTAATACTAGATTGGCGGCAAGATCTTCTCATTCATCGTTTTATACTTGAAATAGCTAGATGTAACCGTAGGTTCTATGCTATCAGTTTCTTCACTCGCACTTCTTAATTGTGGAACTCTCTTCCGGCTTATTGCTTTCCAGTCAACTTTGGTCTCCAAAAACCTAAATTTAATGTCAATCGTTATCTTATATCTTCTTGATTTCTCTTTTTTTTATTGTTCTCGCTCCTTAATAATATTTTTCTTTCTTTTATTCCTTGTATCTTAGTGCCTTTATCGCCTTGCTTGGGATGAAATTATTAGAAATGATTTTCTCTCGTTGATCAGAAAGTCAATTTGTTTTTCAATTTATGAATTTAAACCTACTATTAGATTGGCGACAGGGTCTCATCATTTTACAGTTGAAGTGGCTAGACGTAACCGTAAATGTTAAGGGGTCCACCCCTTTTTATACAAGTGGACTCGCTCAGTGTGTACTTGTACTGCTGCCGGTGAAAACCCGTGGTGAGATAGTGAGAGTGTGAGGTAACCGCTTTGTAGGAGTCACAGTTGCGAGCACGTAGACTCAGAAGGAAGTCATACTTCGATACTGAATTTCCCAGACTGTATATATATTATTATTGCTACTAACCGCATTTCTGGATCTACTAACCGTAGAACCAATTGTATTATTACGCCAATACATTTATTTGCTATATTTCATTCCTGCGTTTGTCATTCATTTGAGACCGGATTTCATCCCGGAATCCACAACAGTAAGTTCTATGCTAACAGTTTCTTCTGTCGCACTTCTCGCTTGTGGAATCCTCTTCCAGCGTCTTGCTTTCAAGTCAACACATTTAAATTGTAGAATTGTCACTAAAAACAAAGGATTAATACAGAAAAGAATAAGACACAAACCTGCTATGATTAACGCCGGCTTAAATAGACGGGCATTACGTTCCAAAATATCGTAGTCAATATATCCAGTTTTCTGGTCGACCTTGTAAGGCAAGGATTCAAAAAAAATCGAAGACGACGACATTTTCTTTTTTAAGTTCATGAACCCGTGTGTCATGTGACCACCATCGAGAAAGTCCAGTCCCATAAGGCGACCATGAGGCCCGACGACAGCTGTGTAGACAGCAAGGTTAGCTGGGGAACCAGACAACGGTTTCACATTTACACCCCATTGGTCTGGGGAGAGGCGAAAGCTTTCCAGTGCTCTCTTTTCGCACAGAAGCTGTATATTCCGAACAGATTCGTTATCAGCATTATGCCTGAAATGGAATATAGAATAAACATCGTAAAATCTGCAAATAATATTTCCTGAGTTTTTTCTCGCTAAATTCTCATAAATGGACCATTTTCTTTCAGTGAATTTGTCATGTAGACTTTGAACTACAGTGAAAACCTGATATATTCGAGAAAGAATAATAATTTGGAACATATACAAGGAGCAAAATGAATCAGAAAGGAACGTGATACAAGGATAGGTCTTCTCACTGGATTTATTTAACCTTTGTAGCGAGGTGACTTTAGAAGATCTGATGTCTACTTGGAATTATTATTGGTAGGTAGAATCTTAACAACATAAAATACACAGATGACGTCATGTTGATGTCAGACACAGATGAAAACAAACTGCAGTACAACTGAGCATGGTAGTAAAAGAAAGCAGGAAAAAGAGACTAACTAGCAAAAAGAAAACGCGAGCTATGAATTAAAAATGTCAAGATCGAACAAATGTAGAAGTGTTTTAAGAAAAGACAGATAATTTAACACAGCAACGAAAAAGCAGATCGGAATAGCAAAAGATGCCTTCTGAAATGTAAACAAAGTATTAAGAAAGAGGAAGTTTTTTTTTTATTAAAAGCAAAAAAAGGAGTGTTGAATTGCTATGTAATATGTCTCCTCCTATATGGCACTGAATGCTTGACAAATTACTTCAATTATGATGTGAAAACTTGAATTAAATAATTCATTAAATTCGTGTTTCGTACTGATAAACACAGCAAGGTCTGTTCTCGTACACCCTTTATTGTATTAAGACACAAGGGTAAATACCTAGCAAACAAACACACACGATCACAGACACATACACGTTTGCTGACACACGCACCAGCTTGCATACATATATCACGTGTATATTTTCATACGTAATTGAATATTCACTTATAATGGCATATTCAGTTAATTAGATAAGAAGGACGGACGGACGAATGTACGCATGCGCGAACCTACACACGAGCGTGCGCACAGGGGCGCACGCACACGGGCGCACGCACACAGACACATATATATATATACTAACATACACACACATCTTATAGAAAATAATCTTTTTATTCAATCTTTAAAAAATAAACTTCATTATATGTTTAGTTTGTTACAAAATACCAATACGACGCTCGGGGGTTGGGTGCGGTCTTAGGCGGGGGGGGCGCTGAGTATCCCTCATATTTCTATTAAAAAAGACACTTTATTTTTCGATTTAAATACTAACATAAACATTTAGTTATTGTTGTTTCCGAACAAATCAAACTTAGATAAAAGTTCATCAACTTTTTCAAATTATTATTAATAAAAAAGTAAATAAACTTAAATTAAGATATATTTAAAAATATTTTATTTAATCATTTTTTCAAGCAAAAATTCTAGTGAGCCTTAATTCTTCGAAAAATAATTCTTTACTATTTATTTTGAAGGGGAATTTAGATTTTTTAAGTACACCCCCCCCACATATATATATATATATATATATATATATATATATATATAATAAAAAGGCTTAAACACTAATATTCCATGGTCATAATTTATTCCATTGGAATCGTAAATTTACCACTAATATTAGCTATATATATATATATATATATATATATATATATTAATTGACTGATCTAAAATATGGTTCCTCGCTACACAGGAATTACCATGTTTCAAAAATCGAAGCTAAAAACTTCAAATTTAATTATGTAATTAAATTAAAAGCATTAGTTCTGTTTCATCTTCAAGCGAATTTTGGAATAACTTTTTTTTTATATTGCTTTATACAGAGACGATGGACTTATGGTTATAAAGAACTCTACTAATTTTAAAATCGATAAAATTAGAAAGATATTATATAAAGAATTCAAAAGCCTGAACTTAAAAGTTACAGTAAGCACTAAATTGAATAAAGTTTACTTCCTTGATATAACATTGGATTTAATGAAAAATGTATACATACCTCATAAAAAAACCAATACTAATCGTTTATATATACACCCTAAATCTAATCATCCTCTATCTATAATTAAGCATATACCTTTATCTATCCAAAAAAAGTATAAGTACAAATTCAGCAAATGAGAAGATTTTCTATTAATTTTTATAATAAAGCTCTAATAGATAGTGGCTACAAAAGCCCAAAACTAACTTATATAAAAAAGGAAAATGGAAAGCATAGAATAAACAGAAGTAGAAAATCATTTGGTATACACCCCCATACAACCAAATGGTAAAGAACAAATTAGGAGAAAAAATCCTTGTATTAATCGTTAAGCACTTTCCTAAAGATAGTAAACTTTATCAATAAAAATACACTAAAATTAAGTTACAGCTGTCATGAAAACTTAGAGAAAATTATTAAGAAACATAATGCTAATATCTTGAATAAACACTTAGACCAAAACCAAAGAAATTTAGACAATATAAAAATAAAAAGAGTTGAAGATAAACAAACATTATGTAACTGTAGAAATCCTCATAACTGTCCTCTACAAAATAAATGTCGCACGGAATCATTAGTATACCAATGCAATATCTCACCTATTGAGAATCCGGAAAACATAAAATCGGTTGCACAAGCCATGAGTTAAAAAAAGAGATTCAGTCAACATCAAAGTTCATTTAGGATAAATAAATACCGAAATCAGACGTCCCTATCGAAATATTTCTGGCACTTAAAGGAAACCAATAAAACACCTACAGTAAAATGGAAATTAATAAGAAAAGCTAGAATATATTGGTCATTAAATGACTCATGTCCTTTGTGCATACATGAGGAACTATATATTACTAAGTTTACAAAAAATAAAAATTTACTGAATCAAAGAAATGAAATAGCTATTCTTTGCCGATATTGTCAAAACTTTTCCTTAAATAATATTAAAAAAAAATGGGAGCTGGTAATATACATACTTATATTTGACATTTAATAATAATTTTAAAATAATTTAAGTAATTCTATTACATTTATTTGATTTAAAAAGAAATATAGTCTATTAATAATTAAGTGTAAAAATAATATTTTAAAATTGTAGTTCAATATAACGTATTCCAACCCAAACACCCCTTTTAGAAAGAATCTTTAAGTATACAAATACAAATTTAACGGACAAAATGCCGTAAAACCTTTTGCCGTTGATAAAAAAATCAGACGACATCCGTTGAACGGATGTTAAAATTCGTTGAAAAATCCACCTACCCTCCCTAGACTTAACCTCTTTTTCGAACGTAACTCATAATTGATACAATAATAGTTAATAAAAATGAGTACGCTACGGCCCATCTTTAAATGATTGGATTTCTCTGTATCCTTGGAAAAAAAATTATGAATTGTATGTGCGTTTAAAACTCAGTAAATTTAAAAATAAGTTATTTCCAAATTCGCTTGAAAATGAAACAGAACTAATGCTTTTAATTTAATTATATAATTAAATTTGAATATTTAGCTTCGTTTTTTGAAACATGGTAATTCCTGTGTAACGAAGAAACCATATTTTAAATCAGTTAATATTTATGCTTTGTAAATTTACATTGAGCACTGTTTTGTAAAATTAAAAATATCAATAAGAACACTGGATTATATATCTTACTGTTCTTTCTTTTTATTAGGTATATATATATATATATATATATATATATATATATATACATACACTTGGAAAAGTCGATTGTGCTCTCTGGAGAAAAGGGTAATTTTTAAAACAGTGACTGCTACTGCTATTAATTCATTTCTCTTCAACAATGAATTAAACTCTCCTGGCTACAAGCGTACTTCGTATAGCTCTCTGACTGATGCCAAATCGGTCGAATTTTGATCCCGGCTTAAAGCAATCGGATATCTAGCCATACTGAAGACTGTGATACAGCGAAACAGTCTGCCTGTGGATGAATATATATATATATATATATATATATATATATATATATATATATATATATATATATATATATAACATTTCTCCGGAAATGTACTTAACTACAATTTTGAAAGAGAATAGAAGCAAGACACATGAAGAATTTAGTTTTGTAAAGCAATATATTTAATCTTCAAGTTATATTTGTATTTGAAAGGAAAAAAAACTTTAGTTAAATAAAAATTAGCAGAGACAGACATGTTCGGTCAACTTTAGTCGTGTTGAAAATTTGTTTCACGAATTTAAAATTTTTCGAAAAAACAAGGATCAGTATAGTTTTTGCTTAAAAAAAAAAAATTATGTTATTTACAAACCAAAAAAATGACGTTTATTCTTAAAGATTGAATAAAAAATTATTTTCCATAAGACGGGCTAAAAATAGTTATAAGTCAATAACACACACACACACACACACACACACACACACACACACACACACACACACACACACACACACACACGCGCGCGCGCGCACACACACACACACAGAGACAACTCCCCTTTATAGTGATACTGAGTCTGTGTGGGGGTCGAGGTCCTGGTATGGAGGTCTGTGTGGAAGTCACCAAAGTAGTGTCTTGCTTGTTTACAGGTGGTTATCTTCAGATAACGTCCTTAATCCAAATATACACCAATTTATGGCCTTTTAAAAATGGATGTAAAGACAATTAATATAATGATATATATATTGCATGTACTGAAAAAAATTATATCTCTCAAAATAAAATATACAATAATATTCAAAATGTTCATAAGTTCCTATCAGAAAGTTCTCGTGTTGAAAGTCTTTAGTCCCTTAGCATATATATATATATATATATATATATATATATATATATATATATATATATATATATATATATGACATAATTTTTTTTAAATTATGCCATATTTATGGGTTAAAGTGGTCAATATCAGGGATGTAGCGTGGACATTAGACATTGGTAATCCGTTTTCATGAGTTCGAGCATGACACAGACTGTCGTATCTGGGTGTTGATCAGAATGTCCACTTATATATATATATATATGTGTGTGTGTGTGTGTGTGTGTAGGTGTAGTAGAACGATGAAAGAAATTCGAGTGTTATGGTAA